CCCCAGCCGGAGTCCTCATCCCCTCCTGCACCCCAACCCCCTGCCCCAGCCCTGATCCCCCTCCTGCACCCCAAACCCCTCATCCCTGGCCCCACCCCAGAGCCCACACCCCCAGCCGGAGTCCTCACCCCCCTCCCACACCCCAACCCCCACCCCAGCCTGGTGAAAGTGAGTGAGGGTGGGGGAGAGCAAGTGACAGAGGGAGGGAGGGAAAGGAGCTCCTGGCTGCCTGCGGACTGAGTGGGGAATGAGCCATGAAGGTCTGCAGGAAGACAGTGTCTCCAGGGAGGAAGCCCTGGGGATACAGCCCCATAGCAGGGCTGGGAGTACTTAAAGACTGAGCCCAGGGAGGGCTAGAGAGACACCACCAGAGGGGTCCTGAGACAGGCCCTGGTGGACGGTGTACCCCGGAAGGGATCTGTTCTGGTGCAGACCGTGTGCATGACTCGGTCAGAGAGCTGAATCACTGAAAAAACCTCCTGAGAACCACTGACAGGGGTTACCAGAACTGAAAGGGCCCAGACACACCCAACCACAGGGGGTCCTCGTGAGAGATGGGTGCCCACCCTTTTACAGCGGGGTAGAAGGAGAAGAAAGGGCTGTGGCTCGGGGGTGTGTGTCTCTGGAGCTCCAGCCCCACCACTGATTTTTGGGGATGAGCCGCAGCCTGCTGGAAGGGCGGATGGAGAGCTCACGAGGGGGAACCCTGCAGCCCCTGGGTACCACCCGCTCTCCCCGACGGCACCCAGCGGGAGAGCCTCACCCGTCACACGTATGGCGATGGGCTGGCTGAGCCCCGAGGGGAGCTCTCGTCCGGACCCCCTGCTCCAGTACTGGCAGGTGTACGGTCCTTCGTCCCCCACCGCAGCCAGAATCTCCAGCCGGGGTTCCCCCCGGGGTGACGGCAGCTCCTCGGAGCTCTGCTCCGGCCGTCGCTTGTAGAATCTGTAGCCTGTCACTTCCTGGGCCCCGGGAGCCGAGCAGCTGAGGTTGAGCTGTTCCCCTGGGAGATACACGGCGTGCGGGGGGTCCAGCGAGAGCGTGGGGGTCGGCGGGGGGGCTGGAAGAGAGGTCGAAGTGGGACGAGTTCAGGGTGGAACCAAGGTCCAGGGTTTTAGGGGCAGGGATTGACCGAGGGGCGCGGGGGCTTCTCCATCCCTGGCTATGTTTCAATCCAGCCAGGTGGGTTTCTGAGGGGATCTGCTCTAGTCCCCCAGGGACTAGTTTGAGGCGCTCCCTGTGCAGATTTGGGGGGGGGGG